ATCTACGTATATCCCTGCTCTCTTCTCTCTCACACGTTTTGAGCTTTACAAATCATTGTACTCTGTGCTGTATCGTTTTGCGCTAAAGAAAACATCCTCTCTATAGTTGTTAGGATCACATCTATAATTTTTTGAAGGGAAGAATTTAAGAAAAAGATGCGGACAACGGACGACGAGTTAGAGGGAGCCCTCCAGCTTCTAGGGACTCATAAGTCGAGCGCATTACTATCACAATAGTCGCGCAGGTTAGTGAAAAGAATTGAAGCGTTTGCGAAATCCTCTAATCGTTGATTAAATAATTCGCTACTTTCTTCATAAGCACACGCGAGAGGAAGGTTTTTCAGCAGTTGTTGTAGTGAAGAACCTTCCTAACAACCTTTTCTGCTCATCAGGAAAAAAGCTAATCATTTACTAATCGTTTGTTTGGTTATCATACTAAAGTGAGTAGCGAGATATGGGAGTAACATGTAGGTTTTTGGATATTTGATCGAAACGACTGTGACGGCCCTCATATTGGAGTAAGTTTTGTGATATCTGTTGGAAATATAAATTTGCTGTCTGTCGTATGGGTCACCTTTTGATTTTAGCCTTAGTTTAGAAAATTATCAATATTGGCATACTTTACGGGCAAATCTCAAAAAACGACATTTGTTTTGACGGTAATAATAACTGAAAAGAAAGAATAAAAAAATTCAATGAAGGATTCTCAGTGCATATCTTTTTGGGCCTAGTGTTTATGTTCTTTCCTTATTCTGACCCAAATAGACAGCATTTTCAAAGATTGAAAAGCGTGTGCCTCTTTGAAAAAGATACTACAGTGTTTATCTTCGTAAGTGTGTCTAACCGATAATTCTTGGATAAGTCGAATTTGTATTTGCTCACTGTTAACCTTCTCAGAAACTTTCCTTTTTTGAAACAGTCTCGTTTACTGATGAGCATGGAGGAGTTGTGGCCACTTTCATTGATACTGGAGCTCCCGTCCCCCAATCACAAAGGTCGAGCGGTCGAGAAGAGCAAGAAGGCGATCATTAACACTAGTCTCAAGATTACCAAAACGTGCCAAAGGCTGGACTGTTTACAGACTCTGACAGATGACTTCACAATAAATGTGGACGCTTTGTTTAAAGATCATGTCTCTGCAGAAAATGATGCCTACTAACCAAGCATCTCGAAGTGAACTTACCACATTATTTATAACTTTCTTGAGCAAGTTTTTGTTACTTAGAGTTTTTGACGTAGTGGATTTGTAAAGCACACTTCTTGCTAGGTGGGTAAATTGTAACCATAGACTACGTGACGTAACCCATCGCACTCTTCTTCGACAATACTATGAAAGCGAAGCCTAGAATGTGTTTTTGGGGTGAGATGAAACTCTAGTGCTTAATAATCAAAATTTCAGAACGACGAGGTCGCGTTCGTTTAAAAGTGAATGCGGCCCTAAGGAAGACTCAAAAGATCCTACGCCGATAGAAAAAGCCTCTAAATGCCTTTTCCCACGGTAATTTGGCATTTTCCATTTTGAAAATGAAACCTCGTACGTCTCTTCTATTTGATTTGCTACGGGTTTACTATTTATAGCTTACTGTGTGACGGTTGCCGAGCAAACGACAACGACACGTCAAGGAAGCTTGGAAAAGGACAGAAGGCACCATTTCTAAGTAATCGTTTCATGCAGAGTAATTTTTTGTGTTTCGTTTTGCTTGTTAATACTTCCCTAACTTGTGATTCAGTCAAGAAGCATGGTTTTCGTTGTTGATTACTCTCCGAAGATCGTGCCATTTATCAAACATCAAGCATTGTAGAGGTGATCAAATGCATATCATTATTGCTGTATGCCGTCTTCACCAACCTTGAACCATCGACCGATAATCACTCTAGACCGCAACATCAAGTGTTCTTCTTCACGTAGCGTGGAGTGATATATATATGCAGCACCGCTATACTTTCTTGTGGGGCTGAACCGAAACGCATTTGCCACTGGTTAGGCTTACGATGAAGCTGAAATGTACGTCTAGCACTATAAAAGCCGTACCAGACCTCTTAAAAGGCTCAAAACATTCTACCAGATTATATTAGGTTTTCTAAGCGAGATCCCAAAAAAGTCAGATAAAGGGTATTGTTACACCTTCTTTTTAACAATCGTTCGCCATACAGTCCGCAATCAATTACTTCGAAAGAACGCAACATCAAGCAATCTTTTCACTCGGCAAGGAATGATGCTTTTCCGGCGTCGATTTGGTATAATAATTGTGGTGAGCCGATTAGCATGGGTACTGATGAGGCTTGCGAAGAAGCCGGAACGTATTTGAATGAGAATAAAAACGTGAAAAAAATGAGAAAACCTAATATATTAGCAAAAAATCGCTTTTGAAATCGAACAATGCATTCTAAAACAAAACTTATCATTTTCTTTTTAGCAGAACATACTATGAGGGTCGCTTTGCATACCAGATTGAGTGTTTGAAATTCCAGTTTTCGAGCTGTTCAGTGATCACTGATATATGAGAAAAAAGCTCTTCTGAGTAGTAAGGGAAAGAAAACACAAGTATGTTCCACATAGTGCGATTGCATTCAAAGAGTTCGTAATGAAAGGTGGAAATTTTTAGGAACATTGGGTGTTTTTTCAATAGGAATAAGTTTTTATGAATCCCTCCGATGATAGTCTAATTTTCATATCGGCAAAGTTTGCCTAGAATCAGAATTTTACTGTATAATACTAGAAAAATCCGCTGTGAAGCTAAAAAGGACTGCGATCGTAAAACGTTAAAACGTCTTTTATTTGATAAGGCGTAGTAGGAAGGTCATTTTGCAAATCAAGCCTAGCGTCAAAGTCAGCATTTCCAAGTTATTGACGAATAAAATAACTTAGACTAAAAAAAAGGAACGAGTGTAAATAAATATTACGTAACAGTTGAAGATATGTTCGTTTTTTGAGGATTTGGTTCTTTCATTGAACTATGGAAGATTTTTGACACATGACACATGACGTTCTTCGTATTAACAAAAACCTTTATAAGACTTTTATGATATTTCGTCATTTAGTAGCAATAATATCCTCCTAAAATCTAAAGTAATATATGACTTTCTATATTTCCTTCGTCGCGAACAACTTCGTAAGGTGAAGAGAACTCGTTTTTGCTCTTGCCTTGGCAATTGGCTCTCCTTTGGACTAACTATCGAGTGACATACCCAGAGTATAAAAAGCTCTGGAACCTACTACACTGAATACTGACACCATGGTATTCACACGATCGTTTGCTTCCAAAGGCTATATACATTAGAGTTTTTCCGACAGATGATTCAATAGTATATATCGTACCAAAGTATTTGAATGCACGATAAAACTCCCGTAAAAACCATATTCGGTGTAACAATACCTTTTTCAGGACTTGTTTCCAGCTAGCAAATGTGTTTCATTTTGCAGATTAAGCATGCTCATCAATGCTACAATAACTGAAGGACGCACAATTGCCTAAGAAACTTGAGCCTATGGCAAAAGCAAAGCAATGATAGCAGGACAACGGCAAAGAGCTCTCCAGGTGCTTGAGGCAAACCACAGCATCTGAGCACCATTCATGTGGTTATGTTTTGATATGATAAGTATTCCTAGACTGTCGGACCTGGTCCGAGCCCATAAGGAACAGTCATCGATCTCCTCTGTACTCTGCTACGACTGCTACCCTTAATCTGCTGCTCTGATCATGCATAAAGATTGAAAAAGTTCAACTAGTTTTTCAACCGCTTCCATTAAGTCCTATGTGCCACTCAATATTACTACTCCAGTATACATTTACTCAATGTTTTCCAATCATTTTGTGCATGTTACATAGATTCTTGACTATATCATTATATTTCCCTGATTTGTTTCACAGTTTGCTTTATGGTATTTATAAGATGTTCTTGTTTGGACAATTGTTTTGTCTTTAGAGAAGCTTAACTGTCGTTGCTCCTACTAATAAAGACTTCCCACGAACCCTTTCTGGTGATTTGAATACTAATGGTCGAGTTCATTCTTGCTGAAGTCCGAGGTAACTGGGCTAGAGTGATCTCACTTGAATTAAGGAGAGTAGACTAATTCAAGATAGCTATGTATCAAAGAACGTTGAATGATACAAAACTCTGAACCTCAGGCGAGAGTTGAATCCTTTAGTACTGCTTCACTATTAATTCTTCCCAATTATGAATGTTTTTTTCATTAGATGTTGCATACATTTTCGTTGCTTGGCTCCACTGAATTTTCCTGTTCTCTTTTGTTGTTAATTTCACCTACTTGCGGAAATTTTCTTCTCTGCGTATTTGTGTTTTGTCCCCAGGAAAACAACTGTTATTGTTCGTGTCAATGAACACTTTATTTTTTGAAGCCGTTTGGCTGCATGCAAATGAGGATGCCGTTGTTTTGTAGTGCCGTACAAAACGATGAGTAGACATTCGCTAATATTCAAGATACTCAGAGTAATTTATCAGTTGCCGAAAATGAATCTAGAATAGGAGCGATTGCAGAACATGATGTAGAGTCATCGCCTAGGAAAAAGAATGTAAACGGATATGGGCAATGTGGTCAAGGCAAGAATAGGCAAGATTTCTAATGCTTTTACTACTTTTTCGCAGTGTTATGATGTCTCAAATATACTTATGAGAATAGAGTGGTGAGTAAAAATCCGTACCACGGGCGCGTGCTATCACTACACCCTCGAGGCACCGCTACGCTGATCATTCTTCACCTCACGTGTCCCCGTTATGGGTGATACGTGGGTTCAACTCCCGTCTGAGGTCGACTTTTTGCTCCCTCCTTAGTTCTCTCAAGTGCACTTGAAACATCATAACACTGTGAAAAAACATGAAAACTTTAGAAATCTTGACTATTACATATCGTAATGGCTGTCGGCATAAATTTTGGCTGAAATTATAAGGCGATATCGCTCACCGGAACCAAACCTGTGAAAGGTTGGTGGCTGATAGCTATAACAGAAACACTGAAGAATGAGTGGTGGCAAGATGGTCCCTCTGTGGTGTAGTGGTAGCACGTGCCCTCGGTATGGAGGTAACGTGGGTTCAAATCCCTTCTGAGGTCAAATTTTCGCCCATCAGTCAATTCTCCATGGTGGGAATGCCCAACATACTTATGAGGAAACTTTCATAGTTCTGAAAAGGAGACAATTCTTTAGAACCGAACAAAGCACCGGTATGCAGCGCTGGAGTTTCTGGTCGGAGGTTGGTCGGAGGTTGGACGGAAAAGAATCTATATTTCTGAAGACAGAGGGTGTCTAGAGTAATTTCAATGCAAGCTTGAAAGAGGACAATACTTCTCACTTCACTTCATTGCTTTAAGTACTACACTGTGAATTTGCTGGAAATGACAATCAGTGTGCAGAAAGTAGATAAGTGATAGCAAAATCAAGTGCACTAGAGATGGGTGATCTTGGTGAACTAATAAGAGACTCTTTTCCTTCATCAGAAACTCTAAGTTATCGAACCCTCAATCGTACCATAAAAACTGCCTCACATTCGCTTCAGGAACTTTGATGTTGGAGATAACTACTTTCACTGCCAAGAATAAAATCACTACACATGTAGGCTGGTGTTTTTAAGCATCAACTATATTTTTTTTCGGCCGCTAGAATAGCTAAAGATCATAAACGTAATGAGTTGAGAGACTTCCAATCGCAAATATAACTTTGAACATTTGTACACTAGCTTCGCAGTTCGGGACAGTTCGTGGTTTGCATATATCTGCAACTGAACCTGTAAGAAAATTCAGCTTTGAATCACTTCAACAATCATCTAATGCGCCGTCTCTATAAACTAAAAAATTCACTGGTCTGTCTTTTCGTAGCATTGTTGTGATGTTATAACTACAAATTTAAGAAGACTGAATAGCACGCAAAACATTGTGTTTTGGCTTGGAGTTGAGCCACCGTCTCATCCTTTCCTAGAGCGATAGCTCGCCACTAAACTACCAGAGTTCTGTTCTGCTAAAACCTTTCTGCCGAAAAGGTACGGACTTCCATCAAATTCCTAACGCAAAGTTAACAACAAATTTCGTGTTTTTACACGAAAAACTCTCAAAATCGTTAGCTATTATTCCAAGGGAAAGCTTAGCCTCAAGCACACAATATATCAAAAATGTGGTATGGAACAAATTCGAGAACCAAGAAATCGAAAGTACTAGACTAAAAGCCAGTGATGGCAGCGAAGAGTTAGAGGTAAATCTTCATTAGTGAGATGTAATATAACAGAAAAACAACTCAAAACTCCTAATCTTTACTTGAATCAAAACCGAAAAGCGATGAATATACGCAAGAAGTAGATGCCTTGTCATCGGGCGCGATCTCACACCATAACTCAGATGGCGATATTCTGATTCGAGCGTGGTACTTTTTGCCCGTGCTAGACTTTGTGCAGTTGGTCTCGAATAAGAACTTCAGGACTTCAAAACGCAAAATGGTGAGTGCTCAAAGATACAGTTTACTATATGATTAAGCATTCACTTCTTGAATTTCGTCTGTTTGAGTTATGAAAACGTTTGACCTAGTAGATGGAATGTCAGACTCTGGAATTGAAACTGAAAAAAAATCTGGAATTGTTTGAGACGACGGGTTCTGCCCGACTGACGAGTCTGTAAGGACGAAACACGTGTATCGGGCTGTACAAGAGCCCTTATCAGACCACATGACATGTTGGCTGAAATAATAGTGAAAAGATCTATTAAAATTTCAGCATGGCCTTGAGAAAACACGCGAAATAAAGGTACCAATGATAGTGAGAACAATAATTGATACAGTAATGGTAATGATTGTAGTGATGTTAACAATAATGTACAATAATAGTACACAATATAGGTGGATAATATCAACAAAAATAATGTTAGTAGAATGCCTTTACTTTCGACTGTTTATATAGACCTCGCTCAAAAACAATAAAATTTTGACAACATGATAAAATGTCCTGAGTTTGTTAGTAAAATAGTGTTAGATAATAGAAATGGTAATAATAGTGGTAACTGTGTAATAGAACAATTATCTAAAACGTAGTACTAACAGTTACAACATAAGAAGTGAAGCTCAATAAAGCTCTCAGCGTTGATCAAACCGTATGACCATTGATTACCGTCAAACTTTTTCTCTTAAATCCTGCGATAATTAAGCTAATGGAGTCTCAGTTTTTCATTTTTAATCACGCTCTTGTAAGTCCCGTCTTGAAATCACATCACAGACTCACTAATGTTCGAACTTTGGTCGTAGGAGCGTAAACAGAGACACTATGCTTTGCGCTAGTGGAACACACAGGTAGCATTCCATCGGAGATTATGTCTTTTTAACACCATCGGGGACTTTGTACACAGTGGATACCATTCTATCGGTAACAAAAGTATTTATACGGTAATGGACTGTTAGTTTACGCCGTCAAACTACTCTTATATAACCTAGTATTGATTTAACAGAATTATTTGTAACCTGCAAATCCTTTTGTAGGAATCTTCGCGATGATATTCTAGGTTTTTGTGGCAACATATTAATTAGCATATTTGAAATTTAATATAATGGTTACGAGAAAATTTCTATGAAGTTCAGTCGACGTGCTAACTACTGTGCGAAATTCAATCTCCTCTTCGTTCCTCCAGCGCACCAAAAAGGCCTTTTCTAAAAAACAAGCACAGTTCTAAAATCATCGTTAGTCAAGCTTTCGAACAACTTCAAAAGTCTGACGAACTATCTCTGTTAGGTGAAAATTTGATAGAAGCGTGTTTAGAACAACACGCACAATCCACAGAGGGTTAAGTATCTTTGAAGGTGACTGAATACATATTGAGCTTATGCAATGTACGCTGGCCTATCGATGCATCAGGTCAGTGATGTCTTTTTTCTTGGAGAAAAGTAGTACGAGTTTGTCATCATCGAAGAGATAAGCACAGCCTTGAGTCCGCGGCAGAGTCGAACAAGCGTCGGATGAATTCATGTAACAGCGCAATGGACGGGATCACTACCACTATTTTACCCCTTTTATAGTCTGCTCTATAAACCTATAGCGTCTTGAGCTTTTGAAGTACTTCAGTAATTGCAAAATTACTATAGTTGTAAGCTCTAATGCACAAAGTGAGCTCTCATTGATGAGATGAGAGCTGTTAGGATGATGTGACGTCCTCATTTTTCATATTTGATTATACCTCAGAATTCTCTTTCTTTAAGCGCTTCAGCGGTTGTATGATGTTTTAATATACCCAGCGATGTGGAGTGGTAAGCAAAACCTTTGCGTCAGTTGGGACTCGAACCCACGTTTCACCCTATCCGGGGCGTTTGCTAGTTCAAGCTACAAGCCCCAGATAGGGTAAAATGTGGGTTCGGATCCCAACTGACGCATCGTTTTATATATCACTCTATATCACTAGATATAATTACTCCTCTTAAAATAAATTTTGTTTCCTATATATTGAGCTTAATATCATTACAGGATCTTGTTGTACATATATATGCAATCCCTGTTATGCCAATTCTAATCTAGGGAAAAGAGAAAAAGGAGAAAAAAGCGAAGTGGGCAAACCAAGATTACATCTAAACGTCTTATAGGCAGCACAATGTCCTAGAAACATGTGATAGTAAAGTGAGCAACGGAATTAAATTCAGAGACATATTAGGTATTTCTGGTGTGGACGAGAATTAAGGGGTTGAGGAGAAAGTTCCCGGAATTTGCCCATAACTTTGACATGTTCGCATGTTTTATATGCAATTTTCACATGGTTTGAAAGCTCGTTTTCTTACGCATCGATTGATATATAACTCTTCTATACTGCCGCAAGAGGGAACTGAACCGCGAACAGAAACGACTGTTGATGCTTCACGATTACAAAATGGGCACAAATGCCGCTGACACTGTTCGTCGAATCAATGAGGCATGGGGCGAAGGAACTGTTGGAAAGACAGCTGTCTACGATAACTTCAAGGACTTCAAGGCAGGAAATGAGAGTCTGTCTGACAAGCCACGATCGGGACGTTCACGAGAAGTCGACCGCCAAGCAGTTCTTGACCGAATCGAAAAGTGCCCATCGCTGAGTTCACGGATGTTGGGCGATGAGTTTGATTGTGATCAGAAGACAATTTTGACGAATCTCCACGAAGCAGGACTTCGATCGCTGAAATCAAAATGGGTCCCGGTCCCACATGATTTGACTATGGATCAGCAAACGTCTTTTGTTCGAACTTAATTGATGCATAAATCAAGTTTTTATAAGCAAATTTCGGAAAGTTTCTCCTCAACCTATTATATGAAGCCCTTTACTGAGGCAGATCCATGCGAAATGAGTGTGAAGTAAAAAAAACTATGTATACATTTTCATTCATTCATAAATCAAACCGAGGCTGAGATAATGACGTAAATAAACAAACGTTTCGTCGGATTCATCATCTTCACGGTCGCCTTGATACGAGTGGCTTCGACATAGCCGTCTATCCTTGCGACGTTGTTTTATGTTTTAAGACTCCGTAAATGGGTTTGAAAAATGAAAAAAAATTCAATAAAATTCTTGCGGGTGACAAAGAGTTGGTCCAGTTAGTAATCTGATATCGATTTGTCTACCCTTATGATAACGGCCATGTAAAAATCTAATACCAATCTTTTCTGATAACCTTCGCGCAATGACGCCAATGAATAGTTATGTGAAATAATAGAAAGTAGATTTCTTTCTGATTCTCTGCTAAAAAATAGCTAAATGTTAGCTAGAAAGTTTTGAAGCTCGTGGTTTTGCTGTGGGAAGAAAAGTATTCTGGAGGAAATCCTAGTGAACAAATTTCATTCTACATCAAACAAAAAACCAATCGAGGAAAGGCTTAAGCTAAGCTATGCTTAAATTCAGCGGAAAAATTTATGAAGAGATAGTTACCTCAATTTGAAACACTTTACATCGAAAGACTTGGGTGTTAGTACACACTCAGAGGTTATGGATCCGGAGGGACACTTAGGTCACTTAGAAGGTGCCAGCATCGTTGCCACGCTCGCAAAAAAAAAACTTTGCATTGTAAAATTCGAATTTCTTTACCATCTTTCGCAGTTTATTGTGTAAATATTTGAAAAGTAGGCAT